AGCAGTACGGGCAGGGCAGTGCTCACCAGTGGCGCGAAGGGCAGGCGTACGACGGCGGCAACGGCGAGGCCGCTACCACTGTAGAGCGAGAGCTCCGCGGCAGCTGCAGGGGTGGCTGCTCCAGGGGCGGCAGTTGTAGGGGCGACTGCTCCAGAGGCGGCTGCTCCAGGGGCGGCTGCTGCAGTGGCGGCTGCTCCGGGGGCGGCTGCTGCAGTGGCGGCTGCTCCAGGGGCGGCTGCTGCAGTGGCGGCTGCTCCAGGGGCGGCTGCTGCAGTGGCGGCTGCTCCAGGGGCGGCTCGGCTGCTGGGCGACTCGGCGGCTCAGCTGCTGGGCGGCTCGGCGGCTCGGCTGCTCGCTAGGGGCGGCGACGGGGCCGGGTAGGGGCAGCGACGGGGCCGCTAGGGGCGGGGAGCGGCGACGGGGCCGCTAGGGGCGGCGACGGGGCCGCGTAGGGGCGGCTACGAGGCCGCGTAGGGGCGGCGACGGGGCCGCGTAGGGAGGGAAGCGGCGACGGGGCCGCTAGGGGCGGCGACGGGGCCGCGTAGGGGCGGCTACGAGGCCGCGTAGGGGCGGCGACGGGGCCGCGTAGGGAGGGAGGCGGCGACGGGGCCGCTAGGGGCGGCGACGGGGCCGCGTAGGGGCGGCGACAGGGCCGCGTAGGGAGGGAGGAGGCGACGGGGCCGTTAGGGGCGGCGACGGGGCCGCGTAGGGGCGGCGACGGGGCCGCTAGGGGCGGCGACGGGGCCGCGTAGGGGCGGCGACGGGGCCGCGTAGGGAGGGGAGCGGCGACGGGGCCGCTAGGGGCGGCGACGGGGCCGCGTAAGGGCGGCGACGGGGCCGCGTAGGGGCGGCTACGGGGCCGCGTAGGGAGGGGAGCGGCGACGGGGCCGCTAGGGGCGGCGACGGGGCCGCTAGGGGCGGCAACGGGGCCGCGTAGGGGCGGCGACGGGGCCGCGTAGGGGCGGCGACGGGGCCGCGTAGGGAGGGGAGCGGCTACGGGGCCGCTAGGGGCGGCGACGGGGCCGCGTAGGGGCGGCGACGAGGCCGCTAGGGGCGGCGACGGGGCCGCGTAGGGGCGGCAACGGGGCCGCGTAGGGAGGGAGGCGGCAACGGGGCCGCTAAGGGCGGCGACAGGGCCGCTAGGGGCGGCTACGGGGCCGCGTAGGGGCGGCAATGGGGCCGCTAGGGGCCGCAAGGGGCCTGGAAGGGCGGCAACGGGGCCGCTAGGGGCGGCGACGGGGCCGCTAAGGGTGGCGCGAGGGGCCGTGAGAGGGGCCTCTAAGAGAGCTCGACAGAAGGGCGGCCCACAAGGCGCGCCTCGGGCAGGAGCGACTGTCGCTCCGGTCAGAAAAAAAGGTTTCAGTGGTGGGCCCAAGGAAGCGTTCCCACTAGGGAACCTGCTCTATACCATGTGAAGAAATGAGGAATGGATTGACTAAGGGAAAGTTGGGTACAAAAGCAAACCCTAGAAAACTGTACCCCATATGTGCTACCCCACTATAGCCTACAGTAGCTATGTCATATAAATCTGACAACCACAGCATGGCGGTAACTGTGCAGACCCTCAAGTTTCACTTCTGCGTCTACTTCTTGGCGGATCTGCTGGCAGAGATAAACGCCCTGAACAAATTTTTCCAGCGCAAAAAAAGTAAGTGTTGATTCACTGTGCATGTTTTTCTTTTAGTCGTGTCATTAAATTATACACTAACATTTAAACATGTTGTTCATGTGCCCGTCTTTGGTTCAGGTTGACATCACGCTCGTGCACCAAGAGGTGGATCGCACGATTGGAGTCATCAGACTTCGATACGTGGAATACGTGGACATTTTCGGAGGGGGGGTCAGCAAGCTGCTGTCGCCATTCATCGCACGCCTTGGCAGCGGCAGGCGAACTATCCGCGTGGACGGCACGGATGCGGATGGTGAGCCATCTTCACATCAGATCGTGCTGAGCGAGGCACCAATAGCAGGACACCAATACGGCGGCTCGATGGCCGACTGCATCAAGTTGTGCAAAGCGTTCGCATTGGAGGTGGCGACAAACATGCACACTCGAATGTGGAGTTTGAAGCAAATGGATGGCAGCAAGCTTTACAAAGTTGAAACGTGGCCAGAAGCGACAGACAAGCGGGATCGTCGGGTGCTGAGTTGGCTGGATGCCAACGCGCGGCTCTTCAACAACCGGCTGCCAGGTAATTATCCACACGTGTTTTGTTTTGTTTTGTTTTGTTTTGTTTCGGCCTTTCACCTCACAAAATGTTGTCCCTCCAACACACGTGGCAGGCTTCAACCACCGAGCGGCAGAGCTCGAGCTGGCCAGCTTCTGCCACGTCATGTCTCGCCACTACCAGGACGATGACTTCTACCAGGGACTTAACAAAATGCTGAGGACCAAGGATTGGCCGCGCAGTTTTCCCAACCTGACGTCCATGTGGCAGGCGCTGGCAGTAATTCCGCTAAGTACCGTGGAGTGCGAGCGCGGATTCAGCCGCCAAAACGTCATCAAAAGCTGGTTGCGAACGTCGCTTGGTGACGCCCGGCTATCCGAACTGATGACCCTGAACATGTTGAGCTATGAGTACAAGTGGCCCGAGGTGGTGGATATCTGGCGGAAGCAAAAAAAAAGAAGACCCGCTAAAACACCTGCCCCTCACAAGTCGTGCTCTAGAAAAGAAAAGGAAAGAGAGGAGTCGTCTGATGGTAGCGAGGATGAGGGTACATTCATGTGACATAATGGCTACATAAATAAAATGTTGGTTCCCTTCTCTTTATAACGATTAGTAATATAAATTTGCGATAAGGGTACACAAAAACTCTACACTGATGCTCTGGGGTAAATTTTTTGAAAATCAATGTTACACTGATGTATCAGTGTAACGAAAATTTTCACACTGATCAGAAGGGTTTTCAAAAATGCTACACTGCTAATCGTGAGTAGCCAAAAACCAAATATAGGCCCTGGTTCCGCCCCACTGTGCCAGCATGCATGCTGATAGCCTGACTGATTGTCATCCAATTTTTTTTAGCTGGCCTGTCCTGCCTTTGTGTTAGCAACCTGCACTCACACAAGCAGAGACACTTTCTCTCTCCCAACCAACATTCAGAGTGGTCATTTTCAAAACGTCAGCCCTTCTCTCCCTCTCACCCATTCTACCCTCGCCTCGCCTCCCCGCCGCCCCTCTTCCATCATGAAAGCACCAAGTGCGTGAAGCAATAAAATTATTGATGGAATGCCTAGGTTGCGCACTCAGCCAGCAAAACGAAAACGTTTGCCATTACCGAAAAAATCCAACGGTAAGCCCCTTCCAAGACCTCTCAACACTAAAAGATTACCCCTCAAACGGCTCAAAATACTTCCTATCCAACAAAAAAGCGCCATGGCCGAACCGAATCGCCCATGTGTCTTTCGGCCGGCGGTCCATAATCCTTCCTGCGTCTCCCACTCTGATAATCCCGTCGTTCCGCCGAAGCATCGGCATAGGTTCGGCAGACTTCACGAACGGAGGCTCGGCTACAATAACTACAGCGGTTCCGCTCTGAAGCACTATGTTGCTGCTGCTACCGCCGCTTCCTTCGCCGTCGGATCCGCTAGGGGATGCCCCGTCAGCAGCTGCCAGGGCTAAGACACGTGCGCGCACGTGGCTTGTGCAGCATTGTGATTGACTGGCGACGCGAATCACGCTAAGCGGGGATGCTCCAGCTTGATGATGACTGTATGCGGACGAAATCGACGGTGGCGATTGTCTTAGCGTTGTGAAGCGTGAAGATGCCGGGTACTGGCAAGCTGCAGCTACTGTAACAGGAAGATGAGCCGCCATGGGATCGACTCTCTTTTTTTTCTCGGGAGAATGGCTTCTTCACACCAGGTGTCCGCTCACTAAAAACGGGAACTTGGAGTTGGAGATGTAGTTCCAGCAGGCCACGATGCATGCACCGTTACAGGGCGAAGGCTGAATTCGGTAGAACTTGTTTATTTCTAAGTCCAATGCCATTCCATGGAAATGTGCAAAAATTCTAAGTAGATGTATCAAATGTGCCATCGCCTGTCTACCACAATATCCAGAACATTCTCTGAAATCTTCAAAAAGAACGAATGGAGCAATTTTCTGCTTACGATCAGTTAGTGGACGATTACCCTATCTTCTCATATGCGCCATATTATGTGAAATATTATACTTACATAGTGGTATCATTCGACAAACACTGTATATTGCTTTGTTGCCAAATTGCAGGCTCATTCCCAAGCCAGGGCGCGTCGCGTTTGCCTCGTCAGCTCGGATGATGCCCTCCGCTTCGCCCTGCATCCGAGCCGACAGCTGGGCCTGTCTGGCATTTCCGAAGCTATGATCCACGTCAATTCCCCCACCGAACCATGCCTACACAACACAACAACCAATCTCGAACCTCCTTACTAGGCTCGTTGAACAACGCGTCGCTGCGTTACCTCGCCTATTTCACCTTCCCCAGCCAGGCAGGTTTGGTGCGCCTCGCAAAAAATGGGCCAAATTGCGGCGTAGGGGGCAGATTGCATTTGAGAGTTCGAGAGGTGTAAGTGTGCTCGAAAGGGATGAAATTGCAGTGCTCGTGGTGATGTGATGGACGAGATTGTGCTGGTCTTGCCGGGTTCAAACACACTCCCTCCGCGCGACTCCACACAGACAGCAAGCATTACATGCCGTGTGACTGCGTCTGAACTTCCATGTTTCGTTCTGCGAGATTCCGCAACATTCATTTACTCAATTTATAGATTCGAGCTCCCTTGCGTCTATCGTTAGCTCTACCTCTGTACTTGCCTTCATAACGCACGCCCCACGGAGCAAAATCTGCACCCACAGCACCAGCCTGCAGCAGACTCCATTACATCTACCTCCACTCTGGCAAACAAAATAGCAGACATCCGTTACGCTAGGTCGTCTTTTTTACACGAGCATCAGCAAGCTCTCTGGAGAAACAGTTCAACCACACGACAAGAATAAGAGCTCATCTTACAAGCCGAGGCCATGGCCGCTCGAGTTCCCGCGACGCAAGTCATTGGGGTGCTCCTCATGGCGCTGCTGCTGCGGCCACAATGCTCCCTTGCCCAAGGCGAGTCCTCGCACCACGTGCGAATCGCAGTATGGTTCTTTAGGGATTAGGCATGGGCGTTTGTTTGATTCTCTTCGCGCTCCTTTCACGTGAGGCGTATGTAGCCACGGAAAGCAGCAACGTATGCACGACCTAGAGCGCCGTATGTGGAGGAGCGCCGTCATCTTGACGTCGAGATTGCTGTTCAATCAATAACACCTTCTTTGCATGCTGCTTGCGCAGAGTCGATTAAAGGCGTGGCGCTCATGAGGGGCGCGTCAGGGGAGCTGGCCCCGCAGAGTGCAACAATGTAATGCATTCTCCTGCCACGGCCTTCCGTTTCCGTCGATTTCCTCTTTCAAGTTCCTCCGAAACCAGATCTCTCTACTCGAATCGAAAACTGCTCCACGCAAACTCGATTTACATGCTCATTGTCGTATACCATATTCTCCCCGTCGTGAATTTCATACTTTCACCTCGTCGCCACCTCCATTCCCAATAGAGTTTACTGCATTCCCCGCGTTTCACTTCCTCGAGTTGTCGCGTCCCACTTAGAACATTCCCCTTGCTTCGTTCTACCTCTCTCCCCCAATACCATCTCCCCACACTAGAGCGGCTGCCACGTCATCACAAACGAACACCTTCGATCCTGCAATGGCGGACGCCGTGGCGACGGAGGCGGCGGCGGCGGCGAAGCGGTCGCGCGCGCCGCTGCGATACAGTCGCAAGGAGGTGATTTCGTCGTTCAACAAGGCGGCGCACCTCTTGCGACTCTCCGCGAATAGCTTGACGCAAACGTCCCCGTGAGTTTCATCCTCCTCATCCTCCCGTGCAATCCTCCTCTTTCTGCTTTTCCTTCCTCTCCACCCACCTCTCCCGTCCCTCATTTCCACTCTCGCCTACCCTCACCCGCCCAACCCCTCGTTCACCCACCTGTCCCTGCCTTACACCAGACAACGCAGCGGCGCTGGTGGAGATGAATCATCTCACGACTAACCCTCTCCCCATTCCCCCCATTCCCCCACCACCTCAGGCATTTCTCTCGCCTGTTCACGGCAATGCAAGCCTCCCGCAACGCGGTGGCGCTGGTGGAGATGGGAAAGCGGAAGTACAACCTCGCAGAACCCCAAATGCTCAACGGCATTCTCCTCGTGAAGCAGGAGATTCCCAAGATCGAGTCTGCGCAGCTGGCTGTGGAGCTGGGTCGGCAGGTCACAAGGCCTGAGAGCCAGGCTCGGAACTACGCGGTTTCGGCGCTGAGGGTGGCTCAGAATGGGCTGACGTCGTTTGAGGTGCAGAAGAACACGAAGAGGCAGCAGGAGCTGAGAGATCAGCAGCTCCAGCGGGTGCAGAGGGAAAAACAGCAACAGCAGCAGCAGAAGCAGCAGGGAGCGCAGGGGCAAGGGGGTGGTCAATAATGGTGGCATGGTAAACCTAAATACATAACTGGGATTCCAATTGCAGGTTAGAACGAGCAGCAGGATAGCAGTCAGGACCAGGTGGTTGGGGGTGGGTGAGGAGCTCAATTAATTTTGTACATTTTGTTATAATGATAAATCAACAGAAGCCTGTAGGGGCTGATATTGATTTAGTGAACGGTTATTTTCTCTAATGATAATGAATTCTGAAAGTTTGACAATACTTGAGCAAGCTTGCTGCTGATGCATATCTATTCTGACTTCCACTAGTTCTACTAGCGGATGATTTGATAACGCACACACGCAACGTCGGATCACACTCCCAATTGGTGCTCTACGCGGCAGCCTGAGAGCCACGTTGCTCTTTCTCTGGTCTCGAATTGCCACGTGGATCCTCGAAAAAAGCTTGGGGACCCTCGGATTTGTCGATTCCACACGCATCTGCTTGGAGAAAGTGACCCAGCCAGGCCATCTGTGAAATTTGTCCTCAAAACGATTTGTTTTCGTCAGCCCGGTAATTGCTGGTTGGGTGTTTTTACCCAGTTGAGTTGAGAAACTCGAGAAACGCCCCCTTTCTGAACAGATCACTCGGAGTTAAAAACAGCGCAAATATTTTCACTATGCCCAGCATTCGAACCCATGTCTGCCAGTGTACAGTACACTCGTTCCTCCTCAGGACATTCCTCCAATGTCGTTGTACGACAAGCCGACACAGCTCTGTTATCTACCTTCCCACAGGTGCGTAGAGGTTGGAAGCGGTGCCACAGCTTACCATGCTTTACCGAAGTAAAACGACTTGCCTTGATTCCATCCTTGCCCTAAGAGCTTCCTTGGGGGGAACTCTCACACATTCCTCACCTCACTTCATTTCCTGCAAAGACCAGCGACTCAGCCTGTTTCTGTTAGGAAAATGGCTGCAGTGTTGTGCAGATAATGTTATTGGTATCTCGTCTGCGCTACTGTGGGCTCGACGTCAATTCGCGATCGTTACTTCGATTTCGCGCCTCGCGCTTCTGCAGCTGTGACCTTTCTTAGAAGCTTGTTGCGTGTACTTCGTTTTCGGAAGTTTCGAGTAACCGCGTCGCGATGGCGAGCACGGCAGCTTGCGCTGCGTCGCTAGTTCGCCCTCATGGCCCCAGCACAGCTTTTGATCGCAGCCGTTCACTTCGTACCGACACGTCAGCACACGCATTAGCTGCGTCAGCCAGCCAAATTCACAGACATACGAAAGGTGCTTACAGCGGGTGTTCTAATGGCGAGAGTGCGAACTCCAGGCCTACTCCGTTTAGAACTTCCCTAATTCCGTCCCCACATTTAGTGTCGGTAGGTTCTAGGAGGCTGTTGGCGACAGGCGAGCCGCTTACCTCTAGGTTCGAACCGCGTAGGTCGCGGACCGTTAGTCCGAGGCGCACACAATTGGCGACCCGAGCAGCCGTGGACACGTCACCTCCTTCCACCGGCCTCCGCGGGAGCAGCAGCAGCAACCGCCGGTCACGTGGCATCCCCACTGGTGGGAATGGCGCCGCGATTTCCAATAACGGGTCGGCCACGCGATTCGCGCCAGGAGCGCCGTTGAAGCGACCGTTGGAGCGGCCGAGAGACAGAGTCTTCGAGGAAGACCCGGCGGAAGAAGCCGCCGCTGCGCGCCGCGCGATCGGCGCGCCGCTGTACAACGCGCAGGGACTCTCGAAATTCTACTCGAAGCGACCGTTAGAAGTAGTCGGTCGAGCGCTGCGCGTCACGACAGCGCTCGGCTCGGTCGCCATCTCGGTCCTGATCGACCGGCAGCGCGGCCAGCTAGACGCCAACATGCCGCGCCGAGCCTCACAGCTTCGGCGCGCGCTGACGAGCCTGGGCCCCACGTTCGTGAAGCTAGGTCAGGCGCTCTCCACCCGCCCGGACCTGTGCCCGCCAGCGTATTTGGACGAGCTGGCGCTGCTGCAGGACGCGTTGCCGACGTTCCCCGATGCAGAGGCGTTTGCGTGCATAGAGGGCGAGCTGGGTCGACAGATGGAAACCATGTTCGAGTCCATCAGCCCGTCTCCCATCGCCGCTGCTAGCCTTGGCCAGGTGAGCAGCGCAGTGAGCAACGTCAAGCTAACCCAAGGGCTCCAGACATCACAACAGCCATCGGGCTCCCTCCCTCCTCTCTCTCCTCCTGCTCCCTCTGTTTCCTTCTGTGCTCCCTCTGCTCCTCGCACCTACAGGTGTACAAGGCACGTCTGATCGGATCAGGCACTGAAGTGGCAGTGAAGGTGCAGCGACCAGGCATCACAACAGCAATCGGCCTCCCTTCTCCCTCTTCCTCCTCCTGCTCCCTCCCTGACTCTCCCGCTTGCAGGTCTACAAGGCGCGTTTGAGCGGGTCAGGAACCGAAGGTGCAGCGCCCGAGCATCACAACAGCCATCGGGCTCCTTCCCTCCTCTATTTCCTCTGCTTGCATGCCTCTATCCCTCTCCTCTCCCTCCTCCGCTCCCTCCAGGTGTACAAGGCGCGTCTCATTGGAGGAACCGAAGTGGCAGTGAAGGTGCAGCGCCCGGGCATCACAACAGCCATCGGGCTGGACTTTCTGCTCATCAGGGGGCTGTGCTCGCTGGTGGATAAATACGTTGATTCTCTTACGACCAGTGTAAGTCAATGCAGTGCAGTGCGGTTCAGTGCCATGCAGTGCGGTGCAATGCATGTATAGCACCCTCCCGGGCATCACAAGAGCCATCGGGCTGGACTTTCTGCTCATCAGGGGGCTGTGCTCGCTGATAAATATGTTTACTCCCTCACCACCAGTGTAAGTGCGATGTGGTTCAGTGCGGTGCGGTTCAGTGTGGTGCAGTGCTACCTCATGGCTCATCAGGGGGCTGTGTAAATACGTTGACTCCCTCACCACTAGTGTAAGTGCACGGGGATGTGTGAGTCACCAGGCCCAGCTGTCCGCTCGACTTGACCACCAGGCCCAGCTGTCCACTTGACTTGACTCAATTCACATCGCATTTCCCCCTTCCCCCACTTTCCTTTCCCCCCCTGTTTCCTCTTGAACCCTGCCAGTCTGTGGCGCTTCTAGACGAGTTTGCAGACAGGGTGTATCAGGAGGTATGTCGCTCTCGCCCCTTCTTCCTCACTTTCCTCCTCACACACTTCTAGCTCTTCCACCGTCCTCCCGTGAGCTTCGTCCTCCCGTGAGCTTCGTCCTCCCGACTTCTCGGTTGAATATGATCACTTACGTGCTTGTAGGCAATCTCTCTAAAAAGCCCTGCCTATCCCACCCCACCCTACATCGTCCCAACCCACCCCACCCCACCCGACCTTACCCACCATACCAGCTAAACTACGTGCAAGAGGCCCGCAACGCCCGGCGTTTTCGGCAGCTGTACGGCAATCAGAATGGGGTGTATGTGCCGCAGGTGAGGGGTGGAGAAGGGTGGAAATGGGTGAACAGGGATGGTCAGGTGGTGTGGATTGGTGTATGGAGGGTGTGGGTGTGTTGCTTTTGGGCAGCTGTATGGCGACCAGAACGGGGTGTATGTGCCGCAGGTGAGGGATGAAGAGGGGTGGAAAAGGGTGGAAAGGGGTGGAAAGGGGTGTATATGCATGGACTGGGTGGATGAGGTCAAGCTGAGAGGAGCGATGGGGGCGCTAGTAGTAGCTGCTTACGCACCTATGTGCTATGTATACGCTGCCCACCCACTTACCAGATCGTGTGGCGCAACACATTGTGCCGGGTGCTGTGCATGGAGTGGGTGGATGGGGTGAAGCTGAGCTGAGGAGAGCGATGGGGGCACACGCCTAGATACACGCTCATGCGCATGTGTACCCTACATTCCCCCCATCCTTTCCCCCCACAGATCGTGTGGCGCAACACATCGTGCCGAGTGCTGTGCATGGAGTGGGTGGATGGGGTGAAGCTGAGTGATGCAGCGAGCATGAGGCGGAACAACCTTGATGTGATTGACCTCGTGGACATCGGCATTCAGTGCTCCCTCAGGCAGTTGCTAGAGTGAGTTGACTGCTGCTGTTGACTGGTGTTGACTCACGTTGACTTGTTAGACTACAGGGTGTAGCTGAGTAATGCCCTTTCACTTCAAATATCCTCCTTCCTAACTGTCTGTCCACACCACTTCAAAAATGCTTATCACTCCTAGTCACCACTCTTCACCCCTCATCACCCCTCTGCACCGCACAGGTTCGGTTACTTCCATGCGGACCCCCATCCCGGCAACCTGCTTGCCATGTCTGACGGCCGTCTGGCCTTCCTTGACTTTGGTGCGTGGCATCACTAGACACTTACTCACTCACTCACTCACTCACTCACTCACTCGCTCCCCTCACTCATTCCTTGGGTCTTGTATCCCTTTACACCTAAAGCATGCTGATTGCTGAATTTCCCGCTTGAGACGTTTTTCTGTCTCAGCCCGATTCGCCATTATAGCCAAGGTGATTGTCACACTGTCCTTCTCCCTCCCAACCGCACTGAACTAGATGGCACCGCATTGTACCTCATGCTGCTCTGATTGTCCCCATTCGCACGCGCCCATCACTCTCTTCATTAGGCATGATGAGTGAGACACCCCCTCGAGCCCGCTTCGCCATCATAGGCCACACGAATGCCCCACTGTCCTCCCAACCCTTTTGCACCCCTCCTCTCTCCAGGCATGATGAGTGAGACGCCCCCTCGAGCCCGATTCGCCATCATAGGTCACGTGGTGCATCTGGTGAACCGGGACTATGAGGCCATGGCTCGCGATTATTATGGTAAGAAGATAGGCTTGTAAGGGAGATGCTTGTAAGGGGGATGTTTGTATGGAGTACACGTGTTGTGATGTCCCATCTCGCCATCATAGGCCACGTGGTGCATCTGGTGAACCGGGACTATGAGGCCATGGCACGTGACTATTACGGTAAGAAGATGTGCTTGTAAAGGAGATGTTTGTAAGGGGGATGCTTGTAAGGAGTACATGTGTTGTAGTACTCTGGTTCCACCATCATAGGCCACGTGGTGCATCTGGTGAATCGATCGAGACTGTGAGACATGGTGAGGTAGGCCATGGCTCGCGGTTACTACAGTAAAGAAGATAGGGAGTTGACTTTTGAGTCGACTCAAAAGTCAACTGGCTAGTAAGGGAGGGATCCCCTACCAGGCCTTCATCAGTGCCTACGAGCTAGTAAGGGAGGGATTCAACTTTTGAGGCGCCTCAAAAGAAGATAGGCTAGTAAGGGTTTTGAGACGTCTCAAAACTACACTTTTATCACGAGGCTAGTAAGGGAGGGATTCTTCTGACATTTTCCAGTGAGCAGCAGCGCTTAAGCCTGAACCTAAGCGCTGCTGCTCACTGGAAAATGTCAGAAGAGCTAGCGAGGGAGTGTTTTTATAACAAGTATGTGTGCTTTTCGCCATCATTGGGCATGTGAATATCATATAGCCATTTTCCCTTTCTCCCCGCTTCGCCCTGCAAACCAAACCAGAGCTCGACTTTCAGTGGAAGTGGCGCCTATAGTGCCCCTGCCTCTCACCGTTGCCTCATCCATTCCCTGTTGCCCTCTGCCTCCCCTCTCCCCCCTCCCGTCTCTCCCTTCGCTCCCCTCCAGAGCTCGACTTCCTAGACCCCTCGGTGGACGTGGCGCCTATAGTGCCGGCTTTAAGAGGCTTCTTTGATGACGTGCTGCAGGTGCGGCGAGGGTTGGGAGGTGGGGAAGGGATGAGAGGGTGGGTGGTGTACGATCCGTGCTGATGGGCATGGGGTGGGCTATCCTCTCAGTGGACGGGGCGCCCATAGTGCCGGCTCTAAGAGGCTTCTTTGATGACGTGCTGCAGGTGCGGCGAGGGTTGGGAGGTGGGGAAGGGATGAGAGGGTGGGTGGTGTACGATCCGTGCTGATGGGCATGGGGTGGGCTATCCTCTCAGTGGACGGGGCGCCCATAGTGCCGGCTCTAAGAGGCTTCTTTGATGACGTGCTGCAGGTGCGGCGAGGGTTGGGAGGTGGGGAAGGGATGAGAGGGTGGGTGGTGTACGATTCGTGCTGATGGGCATGGGGTGGGCTATCCTCTCAGTGGACGGGGCGCCCATAGTGCCGGCTCTAAGAGGCTTCTTCGATGACTTGCTGCAGGTGGGAAGGTTGGTGGGTGGGATGGGGTGGGGTGTGGTGGGGTGTGGTGGGGTGGGGTGTGGTGGGGTGTGGTGGGGTGGGGTGGGGTGGGGTGGGCCTGAGTCGCAGATGACGTGCTGCAGGTGCGGCGAGGGGCGCAGGGTGGGGTGGGGTTGGAAGGTGGGGGTTGGTATTTGGGGCGCAGGGTGTGTGTATCCTGCAGGTGGGGTGAGGGGTGGGTGGGTGCTGGTGGGGCGATGGGTGGATAACCTGTGCTGCAGATAGGGGTGAGGAGATATCTCTGTCTCCTTTCCCACTCCTCCCCATCAAGTTATGAGACGATTTAGAGAAACCCTTTACTATTGGCATCAAGTTTTGAGACGATTTAGAGAAACCCTTTACTATTGGCATCAAGTTGTGAGACGTTTTAGAGAAACCCTTTACTATTGGCATCAAGTTGTGAGACGTTTTAGAGAAACCCTTTACTATTGGCATCAAGTTTTGAGACGATTTAGAGAAACCCTTTACTATTGGCATCAAGTTTTGAGACGTTTTTTTCCCCTCCTCTCCCCATCAGGCGACTGTCAGTGAGCTCAACTTTAAGACCATAGTGGATGGGCTGGGGGCAACCAGAGTGGCTAGATGGATACCGTGCTTCTGACCTTACATCTATTTCTGTCCCCTCGCCCTTCACCCCCCTCCCTCCTCTCCCCATCAGGCGACTGTCAGCGAGCTCAACTTTAAGACCATAGTGGATGGGCTGGGAGCAGTGCTCTATCAGTACCCCTTCAATGGTGAGTGCTTTGCGTGAATACCCTTAACATGGCGAGTAGATTCCGTATATGTTACCGGTTTAAGAGGAATTTTTTTGCTTCCATACCCCTTTTGAAAAGCCCCTTTGTTGCTTCTTCCACCCACGTCCCAACACACTGTACCACTTTTCACCCCACTGTACCGTTTTCCATCTCCCCCTGCCCCCGTCCAGTCCCGGCCTACCATGCACTCATCCTCCGCTCCCTCACGGTGCTCGAGGGCCTGTCTCTCTACTCCGACCTCCACCTCTTCATATCCTCCTCATATCCCCTCATATCCCCTCATATCCCCTCATATCCCCTCATATCCCCTCATATCCCCTCATATCCCCTCATATCCCCTCATATGCCCCCATGCCCCCATCCGTCCAGTCCCCCCCGGCCTACCATGCACTCATCCTTCGCTCTCTCACGGTGCTCGAGGGCCTGGTTCTCTACTCCGACCCGACTGCCACCACCCCTTCACTCTAACTTGCTATTGTGTTTTCCTCCTCCTCATTTCCCCCCATGCCCCCATGCCCCCATGCCCCCATGCCCCCATGCCCCCATGCCCCCATGCCCCCATGCCCCCATGCCCCCATGCCCCCATGCCCCCATGCCCCCATGCCCCCATGCCCCCATGCCCCCATGCCCCATGCCCCCATGCCCCCATGCCCCCATGCCCCCATGCCCCCATGCCCCCATGCCCCCATGCCCCCATGCCCCCATGCCCCCATGCCCCATGCCCCCATGCCCCCATGCCCCCATGCCCCCATGCCCCCATGCCCCCATGCCCCCATGCCCCCATGCCCCATGCCCCCATGCCCCCATGCCCCATGCCCCCATGCCCCCATGCCCCCATGCCCCCATGCCCCCATGCCCCCATGCCCCCATGCCCCCATGCCCCCATGCCCCCATGCCCCCATGCCCCCATGCCCCCATGCCCCCATGCCCCCATGCCCCCATGCCCCCATGCCCCCATGCCCCCATGCCCCCATGCCCCCATGCCCCCATGCCCCCATGCCCCCATGCCCCCATGCCCCCATGCCCCCATGCCCCCATGCCCCCATGCCCCCCATGCCCCCATGCCCCCATGCCCCCATGCCCCCATGCCCCCATGCCCCCATGCCCCCATGCCCCCATGCCCCCATGCCCCCATGCCCCCATGCCCCCATGCCCCCATGCCCCCATGCCCCCATGCCCCCATGCCCCCATGCCCCCATGCCCCCATGCCCCCATGCCCCCATGCCCCCATGCCCCATGCCCCCATGCCCCCATGCCCCCATGCCCCCATGCCCCCATGCCCCCATGCCCCCATGCCCCCATGCCCCCATGCCCCCATGCCCCCATGCCCCCATGCCCCCATGCCCCCATGCCCCCATGCCCCCATGCCCCCATGCCCCCATGCCCCCATGCCCCCATGCCCCCATGCCCCCATGCCCCCATGCCCCCATGCCCCCATGCCCCCATGCCCCCATGCCCCCATGCCCCCATGCCCCCATGCCCCCATGCCCCCATGCCCCCATGCCCCCATGCCCCCATGCCCCCATGCCCCCATGCCCCCATGCCCCCATGCCCCCATGCCCCCATGCATCCAGTCCCAGCCTACCACACGCTCATCCTCCGCTCCCTCACGGTGCTCGACGGCCTTGCTCTCTACTCCGAGTCTCAGACCTCCATCTCCCCACCCTAACTGTCTCTCTAGTTGTGTGCTTTCTTCCTCTTCATTCATAACCCTCCCCCCCTCCACCCACCCAGTCCCCACTTACCACGCACTCATCCTTCGCTCCCTCACAGTGCTCAACGGCCTTGCTCTCTACTCCGACTGCCATCTCCCCACCCTAACTTGCTCTTGTGCCTTCTTACTCATTCCGTTCCCCCCATGCCCCGTCCAGTCCCGGCCTACTATGCGCTCATCCTCCTCTCCCTCACAGTGCTCGAGGGCCTGCCACTCTATTCCGAGTCTCCTACCTCCATCTCCCCACCCTAACTGGCTCTTGTCGTGTGCTTTCTTTCGTCCTCCACATACTCCCGCATGCGACTGAAGAAGTGTTTTGAGACGACTCAAAACATTTCTTTCGTCCTCGACATACTCCCGCATGCCCCATCCAGTCCCGGCTTTCTTACGTGCTCATCCTCCGCTCTCTCACGGTGCTTGAAGGCCTGGCTCTCTACTCCCACCTCCACCACTTGCTCTTCTGCTTTCTTCCTCTTCATTCATCTCACCCTCCCCCCCCACCCCTGCCCCCATCCAGTCCCGGCCTACTACGCACTCATCCTCCGCTCTCTCACAGTGCGGGAGGGCCTGCCACTCTACTCCCGCCTGCACTTGCTCACCCTTACTTGCTCTTGTGCCTTCTTCCCTGTCACACTCTCCTTTCCCCCCATCCAGTCCCGGCCTACTACGCGCTCATCCTCCGCTCTCTCACGGTGCTTGAAGGCCTGGCATTCTCACTCACCTCCACCTCCCCACCCTAACTTCCTCTTGTGCTTTCTTCCTCCCCATTCATACCCCTCCCGCCCCCCATCCAGTCCCGGCCTACTACGCACTCATCCTCCGCTCCCTCACGGTGCTGGAAGGCCTGGCACTCTACTCCGACCCCAACTTCAAGGTGCATCCATTATAAGAGTACTCGTTACAACCACAACCCGGGTAGCTTGTTACACCTCGTGCTCTGCTCGCTCCCTCACGGTGCTGGAAGGCCTGGCTCTCTTCTCCGACCCCAACTTCAAGGTGCGTCCATTATAAGCCTACTCGTTACAACCACAACCTGTTGGTTTCGTTCCCTCACCGTGCTGGAAGGCCTGGCTCTCTACTCTGACCCCAACTTCAAGGTGAGTCTTTGCCCTGCTTGCTCTGCTTCTGAGACGGTCCTCTCTCCCCGCCCATTTGTCAGTCGTGCCCCTGGAGTTCTCCCTCACCGTGCTGGAAGGCCTGGCTCTCTACTCGGATCCCAACTTCAAGGTGAGTCTTTGCCCTGCTTGCTCTGCTTCTGAGACGGTCCTCTCTCTCTCCGCCCATTTGTCATGTCAGTCGTGCTGTACGGGCCCCTGGAGTTCACTTTTGAGGCTCCTCAAAAGTTGTGCTGTACGGGCCCCTGGAGTTCACTTTTGAGGCTCCTCAAAAGTTGTGCTGTACGGGCCCCTGGAGTTCACTTTTGAGGCTCCTCAAAAGTTGTGCTGTACGGGCCCCTGGAGTTCAATTTTGAGGCTCCTCAAAAGTTGTGCTGTACGGGCCCCTGGAGTTCACTTTTGAGGCTCCTCAAAAGTTGTGCTGTACGGGCCCCTGGAGTTCACTTTTGAGGTTCCTCAAAAATTTTGCTGTACGGGCCCCTGGAGTTCTCCCTCACGTTGCTGGAAGGCTTGGCTCGCTACTCCGGCCCCAATTTCAAGGTCAGACGTGTGCCTTCTCCCTCTCCCTCATTCTGTTCCTTCAGGCCGCATGTAGGCCTTCTCGCCCTCCCTCTCTCCCTCTCCCTCACGTTGCTGGAAGGCTTGGCTCGCTACTCCGGCCCCAACTTCAAGGTCAGACGTGTGCCTTCTCCCTCTCTACGCAGGGGCAAAGAGACCCCGTCTGTTGCCTCCCTGCATCATTCTCGCCTAATCTCGTGCCGCTGTTTTCCCCTGTGTGCTCGTCCAATCCAACAGGTGCTCGCAGCAGCATACCCCTACAAGGCACAGCGCCTCCTGACCGACCCAAACCCCTACAAGGCACAGCGCCTCCTGACCGACCCAAACCCCTACAAGGCACAGCGCCTCCTGACCGACCCAAACCCCTACAAGGCACAGCGCCTCCTGACCGACCCAAACCCCTACAAGGCACAGCGCCTCCTGACCGACCCAAACCCCTACAAGGCACAGCGCCTCCTGACCGACCCAAACCCCTACAAGGCACAGCGCCTCCTGACTGACCCAAACCCCTACAAGGCACAGCGCCTCCTGACCGACCCAAACCCCTACAAGGCACAGCGCCTCCTGACCGACCCAAACCCCTACAAGGCACAGCGCCTCCTGACTGACCCAAACCCCCACCTGCGCGACGCCCTAATCGAGCTTCTCTTCGAAGACGGAGTTTTCCGCTGGTCGCGCTTCGAGAACCTCCTCACCTCTTTGTTTCCCTCCTGCTCCTCCTTCTCCCCCTTTTCTCCCACTCACCCAACATGTGCTCGCAGCGGCATGCCCCTACGCCTCCTCACCGATCCAAACCCTTAAGGGACGCTCTTATCGAACTCCTATTCAAGGATGGAGACTTCCGCTGGTCGCGTCTCGAGAACCTCTCACACAGTGGCAGCATGACCACTCTTTCTCCCCTACATCGTTCTCCTCTAATCTCAGGCCACTGTTGTCCCCCGTTCCTGACCCACACTCCAACAGGTGCTCGCAGCGGCCTATCCCTACATGGCGAAACGCCTCCTCACCGACCCCAACCCTTACTTAAGGGACGCTCTAATTGAACTCCTATTCAAGGACGGAGTCTTTCGCTGGTCTCGCCTGGAGAACCTCCTCACGCAGGGGCAGAGAGACCGCGACTACAAGACAACCGATGCCCTCCAGCCGCTCATGGCCCTCATTCTAGGCCGTGAGGGGAAGCCGCTGAGAGCACTGGTGGTTGCTGAAGGGGTGAGGGTTGCAGAGGCGCTGCTGGTGGCAGGGGCTGTGGATGGGGCGTTGGAAGTGTTACCCGATGCGGTTACCACCGCGCTGCTCCCCCGGCCGCTAGTGCCGCTGAGGGAAGCGTTAGAGGCGGCGAGAGGGGGGGGTGGGGGTGCGGGTGGGAGCGGGGGAGCGGGAGGGAGTGCGGGGGTGGGGAGGGGAGCGGGGAGGGGGGATGCGAGAGGGAGGAGTATGGAGGAAATGGTGGAGTTGAGGGCTCAGGTGCTGCGGTGCTGGGCGCTGCTGAGGACTTCAGATGGGTTTGACCCAGCGAGTCTGCTTCCTCTGGTTGATGTGAGTGCTGTTGTGGTGCTGTGGTGGTGCTGTTGTGGTGCTGTGGTGGTGTGTGGTGGTTTGTTGATATGGTTGTGAGTATGAGGGAGTATGGAGGAGTTGAGGTGGGCTCAGGTGCTGCGTTACTGGGCTCTGCTGAGGACTTTGAATGGGTTTGATCCGGCAAGCCTGCTTCCCCTTGTGGATGTGAGTTGGTGTTGTGTTGGTGTGTGTTTCGAATGAGGGAATGAGCACGCTCGTGTGTGTGGATGTGAGTGAGAGATATAAGTTGTCACTGTAATGATGGTGTATGATTGTGAGTGGGAGATCTACGGTGCCTGTGAGGTGGGGATCGAGGTGTCTGCTCAGCGTCTGCTCTTCCTCCTCTGTTATCTGAGACGTTTCCAAACCCCATCCCAACCGCTTGTCACCCCTCTGTTATCCCTCAGGTGCTGCAACAGGAGGAGGTGAGGGAGATGGGATCGGACTTTGCTACAGCCTTGCTGCAGAGACTGGCAGCACGCTCGCTACAGCTGCTGCTACAACCTCCGCCTTCCTCGCAGGCCCCTGCAGCCGCACAAGCTCTATAGAGCTTTGTCAGCCAGAGTTTCAGAGTTTGCAGCACCCAGAAGCCTTAAAATTTGCTCGCTGCAGCTGCTGCTACAAACTCTGCCTTCCTCCCAGGCTGCAGCGCCTGCACCAGCTCTGTAGACACTGTTAGCCAGTACTTGGCTTTTGACTGTGCTAGCTGCTGCTGCTGCTTGCTACACTTAAAGCCTGAACTGCCTGCTCCAACTTTGCAGGTTCCGAAGCACCTATTATGGCAAATTTGTTTGGAGCATAAATTTGAATCTGAGCTCCTTGAACTGTACTGTAGTAGAATTTTGAGCTGATGTGTATAAGTCCTCTTTGTTTTTTGTTACTCACTCCGAGTAGTGCCACTCATTGAGATTTCTTTTTTAATCTTTCCCCTAAATTTGTTTAGCCCTTACATTCTGACTGGCTGGCGAAATTTTATTTCACAATGCCTGCTGTTTTGGTATTTCTCCATCTTATGCGATGAGAATTATGAATGAAAAAATATTACTTCAGATAATCACTACAAAAAGGATGCACCGTATCTAGAACCTGACTAGTATGAGCACGCGCTTCGTTATTAGCTGACGCAGCAGCTGACCCCTGCTGCGGAGCTCACTCACGCGCTGGTCGATCTGTACAGAACTGGTAGGCACAAGTTTACCCGGGAAAATCTCTGCTGCAGACACATCAACCCCTTCATAAAAAGCTCCTGCTTGCTCGCTGCCTTCGCGTGGTATTCCTGATCGTGGTATTCCACTGCAGGTGCGGCTCGTCTGAGTAAGGCTGAACCGCCATGCGCGATAACCACGCTTCGACGGAACCGTTCGGGTACTGCTTCCTCGCAGTCCTCTGCTTCTTCCTCCACCTCTTCTTGCTGCATACATTCATCCTCGCCCTCCTCTTCCTCCTCGTACTCCTCTCCCTCCTCCATCTCGGCCTCATCATTCAGTGTAGTCAGATACTCTCCCTTTTCCTCCTCCATCAACATATCCTCCTCTCCCATTTCCTCCACCTCCTCCTCTTCGTCCTCTTCCCACTCCCCGTCAACCTCTTCCTCCTCCTCTTCCTCCTCCTCGTCTACCGAAGCTGCGACTTGCAGCAGCTGCAGGTTCGGCATCCGAAGCAGCACCGCGTGAAGCAGAAGCAAAGCCTCGGGCCGCTGATCCTGAACCTTTACCTTAAGCTCCTCCAGCTGCGGCCACCGCGCTGACGTAGCAGCGCCGGCGGATTGGAGCACTCCCGAGGCTACAGCCCAGGACACAACCAGCTGCCACGGCAGCGCGCCGAAGCTGAGCGCCTTCAGGTTCGGACACATAGCTGCGAGCCAGGTCAGGGAGAAGATGCTTGAGGTAAGGGCACCCAAACCGGCCGAGAAGAAGTCGAGTGATAGGGAGGTGAGTTCTGAGCCGTTGGATTGCACGAGCGTCTGCATCGCCGTCCAGCAGAAAGACCCCGCTTTCAGATTCAGCGATGAGATTTTAGCGGACTCCGGAGCGACGATTTCCAGCAGACTCGCGCTTGCGACTGCCACGTGGCGCAGATCCGAAGCGCCGTGGATTTGGACGGAGCGGATGAACATATCGCGGACAGAGAGCGAGCGGAGGGAGCGTGCGTTCGAAAGCGTGCACGACTCGGCGCGCATGTACGCCAGCTCGACATGCTCCAGTGTAGCGGGCAGGCGAAGATTTATCCGGGGGCTGCCCGTGGCCATGAAAATTGAGAGGCGGCGAAGGTTAGGCGCCGCGTCGAGGATGGCCTGTAGGCTCTCATTGGACGCGTGAATCCAGGAGAGCGACAGGTGCTCCAAGTGTCGCATGGGCGGCAGGCGAGCGGTCGGCGACGAGAGGAGCGACGACGACAGCGAGAGCGAACCCAGAGAGAGCGATCGCAACGACGTGCAGTATTTTGCCACGTGGCGCAGATGCAAGCTCAGATCCTCGTTCTCCCAAACATTGACTGTTGTTGCAGCGTCGCCTGCGGCGTGAGATGCGGCGGCGCCCTGGAGAGCTCGGGAGAGGACGAGGGACTTGAGATGCGATCCGACGTGGCGCATCCACGCTTCGAAGATGAATTCGCGCGGGTGCTGCTGCTGGCGAGCGTCACAGCCGCATCCGCAGCAGCAGTGGTGAGCGCATTTCCCGCCGCAAGACGTGTCGCCGCAGGACGGGCACACGGATTGGGGCGCAGCGAAGGCCGATGCCACGTGGAGGTGCTCCAGCTCCTGCGATTTCAGAAGCATCCGCGATACAAGCTCTTCGAGCTGGATGGCTGGCGAGTGGCGGAACGATGACGACGAATGGGAACGCGACACGTCCGCAGGGCCGAAGCAGAGGGCAGGGAGGAAACGGGAAAGGCTGTGGAACCGGCGACAGGTTAGCGAGGTGGCTGCCACGTCGGACGCGCCGCTGCCGGTCCGGGAGAGGATATCGATAACAAGTTCGTCTGGAAGCGTCGAGAAGGGGTCCTGTGAACAGCTGTGTGAATTATCCGAAGCGTCAGGCATTCTAGGCGATACAGCGTCCGCGTTAACACGACTAACTTCGGCCGGTTGGCACGAGAAAGCGAAGGTAGGAGACGCCATGAGGTCTAACTTGATATTTGGAATAGGCTAGGTAAGACTATAGGCTTGACAGGTAATGCGTGAGAGTGATCTGACCAGGCACTGGTTGGATTGAAGGAGAGCGAACGGCTCCTTTTTTACTTGCGGAATAACCTTTGGAATGTTGAAGTGATAGCGAGTGGGAGGACAAGCGACAAGGGCCACAAGCTGAAGCTGAACTGAGGGAAAACTGGATATCCGAAAGTCATAAGGACGGTGAAATGTGATCAAATGGAAGAGACGTAATACTGCCAATAGAGACTTGAGGGGGACGGGAGTTATTTATCTATCCACAACTCAAGCGTGCTGGTTTGGATGGTTGGTACGAGTCGAGAGGATGAGGGGAGGAGGGAGTTACTGTAGCAAGGTTATGAGGCAGATCGGAGGGAGAGGGAGGGCCACACAACCGCAACTCGCGACGGCGGCACGTGCTGTCGTGCTGGCGTTCCAGCTGCTGCGCTAGCGGCCTCATGGGGCTTCGAGAAGACACGGCGTAAGTTTGCAGCTGGCGGGAAAAATGTGGGTGGCGTGGGGAATTTGAATGCGAGGCATCCACAACTAGGGAGAGTAGTTGGCGGTGCGGCGCGGTGAGTGATGCCCAGCATACCGAACTGGCGCCAAAATAACATCGATCTGCCTGATACGAAAAAATCGAGATCGGGGCATAGGGCACGGGTGGGCCATGTGCTTCCCTGCATCATTGATCACCGTGCTGAAGTGCGGCGCCGATGCACTTGGCGCGAAGTCAACAGGTACCTATGGGAATGGAGGTTAGAACCAGGGTTTTGAGTACGGTTTTTAGCAGTCACCGCAAGCAACTTGCACAATTAGGGCTTGTGGGTGCATCGAGAGAGTAGGGAATCGTGAAAGTGAAAGCTGGTTTGATGGCGTCGTCGTGTGATGTATCCTCCGCCAAGGGGACATCACGTGACATGCCGTTGCTTGCCAGTTGGCCATCCAGACTGCCAGCCAGTCGCCGCAAGCACGAAATGCTGCAATCGTCAACCAACTGGAAACAGACCCAAAAGGGGTGGTGTGGGTTTCGTCAATCGGTGACTCGCTGAGGTCAACGAAATGGCGACGAGTAACCCTAGCTTCGGTAGCTCGTTCGTTGATGTGACATGTGACCTGGTTGATTGCGGCCAAGCTGGGAAGGATACCACATGGATGTACGACTGGCGACACTCAATCAATCATGACGGGCACCGGAAAGCTGGGCCGTTAAGATAGGGCTGTAAATGGTATTTACACAGAAATGTCGGGCACGGGTCAGAACACCGCAATTGAGGCATGCTGGTACAATCATGGTAGACAACTGCTAAGAACCGCCAAACCGTCATGTACCTTCGGAAATAACAAGTTCACTTACAAAATCAACCCGTTGCTTGACGAGGTACTGCGTTCGAACCATACCTGCACGGATTCGCCATCCATGACCTGAAACTCTTCATTCTCTGTGAATGGCAAGCAACTTGTGGGCGTTGGCTTGGCTGGGCAGGTGCAGGACTCTTCGGCACCAAAACATTCATCGCCTCGTGAACCACAACATTCCGTCTTGCTCCGTACAACTGTAGAACTGTCAATGAAACCGAAGGAGCAGGTGAAGAATGTGAACAAGCTGGCTTAACCCAACCGAAGTATGTACACTTTTTGCATGAGTAAACCGATCCGAACGTAGAATGTACCTGGCGGAAGTCTCAAGTGTATCTTCCATTTAGTAAACTGCAGCAATCGCACGTGACGGCGCGTCTCTTCAACAAAAGGAAAATTCGTGGTGAGATCACGCGCCGCAATCTCCAATGCTGCATCGAAAAGAACAGACCAGCGTGGACCAGACAGGACGAGCAGCATTTTCAAGCATCGTTGCAACCGCCACAAACCGCCGTGATTTGGCCGTACACTTGTGACCCACAGTGAACACGTTCGTGCATTTCCAAATTGGCGACTGCAGCCAGCCACGCCCCCTACATTGCCCCTAGTTTACATGGATACACCAGCCAGTCAGTAGTTACATGTACAGAATGCATATTGATCTGTACAAAAAAAATAAACCTAAACCATAAATCATCACTGTGTTATTGCAAGATCTACTCAAGACACTAAAGTTGAATAAGCACACCAATATGAACATATAGCCCTGTACACAATGTTAATAACAGTGATTATTGAAGCATCACAATGCACTCCTTACCGCGGCAATCGAAACATGCACTACCGAAGCTGGAGACGAAAAGGCGGAAATGATGCAAAGCGTCGTACGGTTACGAAAAGGATCTGGACCATCGGGCAGACAGCATCAGGCAGCAGCAGTGGCAAGGATTCTGCCCGGACAGTTTCGTAACTGTCTGGAGTCGCACGGTTGGATTTCGCTGTAATAAGCGGATGTACCCCTTAGAGTACATGGCTAGCTAG